GCCTCCAGCTGATTTCTTAAATAGACATTCCCTGGATTTCTACAAACCTTAGCTTAATTTCCAGAATTCTGAAACAAAGTTGATTCTGATAATTTTTGCCATTGTTCTCATTGGTTTTATGGAGTAGAAAATTTTCAGGGCTCTTTCCTCCACCATCCGTGGACCAGCAGGCCGGTTTTGAACCCGCATGTGCACACCATGCGCAGTGGCTTGCTAAGGACCCTGCACTTGCACCCAGTGGCTTATTGAGGCCACTTTTCCTCTGTTAAATTGTTTGTGGATTCCCTTGGCAGGGGCCAGTGAGATCTGGAATGCCAGCCAGGTTGCCCACATTGGCCTTACTCCTGCCACAGCTGACTAAATGCCCTCGGGGCAGAGGAGCTGAGGTTTCCAGAGCGCCTACTGTGCGCCAGGTTCTGTGTGCTGGGGGTTTTCTGTAGACTCTATCACATCATTCCTGCCACAACCAAGAAAGAGTCAATTTTCCCGTTTAGCGGATGAAGAAACTAATAAGCTACAGAGCACGTAGCCCCGTGCTTGCTGCTGCACCTGGCAAATACTGGATCTGCTGATGATCGTTACACTGCTGTTGCTGCTGCTACAACTGTTACTGTCGGAGGACCAAGTACACTTGAGGGGATTGCTCAAGGTCACTTGACTTCCAGCCCGGGTCTATCTGATTCCAAACTCGTCTATATTCCACATCCCCATCCCAGCTCTTCTGAGTAAATCTGTTCCCACTCTGGGTCAACTTTCCTAATCATGTCAGATGAAGGAGTTGAACTGACTAAAATTATTCAATCAGCAAACACTTTCTGAATTGTCCTGCCACTCCCAGGGGGACATGATGGAAGTCTGTGATTCTGTGAGGTCAGTTGCTTGGAGTCACATGGATGGCATTCTCTTGTTCAGCTGGAAAAATAAACTGCCGGGTACCTGGCAGGTGTGTGACCCTTCCTTCTTGCTCTGCCCCATCCCCCCGCAGAGGCAAGAGGGGACAAAGCCAAGTGGGTGTTCACCTGGCCACTCATCTTTCTCCTGTGCATCACCATCCCCAACTGCAGCAAGCCCCGCTGGGAGAAATTCTTCATGGTCACCTTCATCACCGCCACGCTGTGGATCGCCGTGTTCTCCTACTTCATGGTGTGGCTGGTGAGTGCCGGGGGTGCTGCACCGACAGCCCCTGCCCAGCTCTGCCAAGCACCGGGTTCAAGGGCGGCCATAGGCGCTGCTGTGCCACCTTTGGGCAGGTCCCTGACCTCACGTGGTCCCTGACCACGGCTTATTTCTCAGTGGAAAGGGTTTAGTGAGGTGCTCGGTGCTGTGCTCTGTACCGGGGACGCTGCAACACAGCAACACAGCGCAGAGCTTGCCTTCAGGCACGAGGGAGGACGCTCCCACCCCTACCACCTTGACTGACAAACTCCACCCCCAGTTCTTAAGCCAGAGTCCTGGGGACCCAGGAAGCACTTTGCTGGGGTGGGTGCTCTTACCTATGTTTTTGAACTTCAGATAGTCTCAGTTTGGGGGAACAGAATGGCTCTGACGATAAAAGTCCATAAAGAGGACAGTGCCCATGTTAGCCTTCATCTCTACCAAAGCATGGTGTCCCGCCTGAGTGTCGTGCGCTTATTTTCATCGTGCCCTGATGGGGCGCCAGGGAGCAGGGAAGTCCCATCTGCCCGTCTCCTAGCCCCCACCACCTTAACACCTCTCACCTGCAAGGCTTTGGAAGAACGGTGCTTGGATGGCAGTGTCTAAGAGAGGGGCCTTAGAAGTGGATTGGCCATTTCCCCGGCACACTTGTACAGTTGAGGAGAGTGACTTCTGCAAGGTCACGTGGATAGTCGGGGACAAAGCCAGGACCAGCCCCCGGGCCCTGGACTTGGCTCGCTTCCCTTTCTGAAACCTCAGCCTCAGGAGGGCTCCGAGGGCCCAGGCTCAGAGGCCAGGGTAAAGCAGGGCTCGAACAGCATCCCTGGTCTAAGCACCCTGGATGGCGTGTGCACGCACACACAAAACCTTCTTTTCTTCTGTCCTGCCTGCCTTCAACTTCTTAGCCTCAGAGTTCATTGTTTTTTAAAAAAAAAAAAAAGGCAGTCCCAGTAACTCCAAAATAACCCAGTTTCCTGCACTTATGGTGTCTGTAATAATAGGAATATTTCTTTAGTCCACATACTCTGTTTTGTTGTGGGTTCATGCCTCCACCCCGTTCTGCAGGTGACTATTATCGGATACACACTGGGGATCCCCGATGTCATCATGGGCATTACTTTCCTGGCGGCAGGGACGAGTGTTCCGGACTGCATGGCCAGCTTAATCGTGGCGAGACAAGGTATGGATCACGCCTCAGCCCCCACAGCCATTGCCATCACCGTGCAGTCCCCCTGTTGTCTCTGCCCAAGTTAGAGTTGGCCAAGTTATGGTTCTTATAACTGGCAGTTATCGAGTCCTGCTATGGAGAAAACTGTGACATCCAGAAAGCATCACTTACTCAGTTGTGTCTGCGGAGAGAATACCACTAAGATGAACTCCTCCAGACCTGGAGAAGCTTTTGCTGGAGTGGTTGTGTAAAAACAAACGTGTTCTGAGGTCCCCAGTCAATGTGAGACTGAGCAGAGCCCAAGCCCAGACTTCACACAGCAAATGAGCTAATAGCAAGAGATGTTCTGGTCCCAGGGGGACAAAGTGGGTCCTGTTAAACCAACTCTTTTCTAATTCTTCTAACTTTTAGAACATGTGTAATGTTAACAAGGTTTGCTTGGTGGTTTTTATTTTGGGCTTACCAAATGTCGTGAGCTGAGCAAGATGAGGCCACACTGTGTGTGCTCTGACGGCCAAGCAAACGAGCTGGAGAGTCTGGGCTATACTCACGGCTCCTGTTCTGCCGGCAAGGTGGTGCCCCGCCACGGACCTCACGCATCTTCCTGCCACATCAGAGTTTGAAAGTGTAGGGGAGGGGATGACTGAATAATGGAGTGGGGTCTCACAGGAGACGGGAGAAGGGAAGAGTGTCCCTAAGAGAAAGGTTGACTTTGGAAAGAGGGATATTTTATTCCTCCAAGATAAGAGAAAGGGTTGATTGGTTAGTCAGTTGGGCCTGAGAAAATGTGAGATGAACGGAAGGAAGGGAGTGTGTTTGGAGGTAGGCAGGGGCCTTACAGAGAATGGGGACAGTTGGGGACAGCAGCTGAGGGGAGTAGAATGTAATTGGGTGACCTTGGAGGTGAGTGTATCAGTTCCCCAGGGCAGCCATGACAGCTGGTGGCCTACCACACCCGGGCAATGGAAACGGCAGAAATGTGTTGTCTCCCAGCTCTGGAAGCACATGTCTGAATCCAGGTGTCAGCTCCTTCCAGAGGCTCCAGGGAAGAATCCTTCCTCGCCTCTTTCCAGCCTCTGGTGGTCGCCCGTAATTCTTGGTGTTCCTTGGCTCATAGCTACATCACGCCAATCTCTGCCTCTGTCTCCACAGGGCATTCTTCGTGCGTGTGCATGTGTGTGTGTGTGTCCAAACCTTTTCTCACAAGGACGCCAGCCATTGGATTAGAGCCCACCCTAGTTCAGTATGGCTTTACCTTGACTGTATCTGTGAAAATGCTATTTCCAAGTAAAGTTACGTTCACGGGTTCTGGACGGACGTGAATTTGGTGGGGGCGTCCCCACTCAGCCCAGTACAGTGAGTAAAAGGAAAGCTGACGAACGCCAAGGGCCTGGCTGATGTTCAGTAGCATGAACTTGGTGGGAGTCAGTCACGCCAGCTCCAGTCAGGCACAGATGACACGTCCGTCCCTAGCGGGCAAGAGAAAGTGCAGCTTAAACAACTGGACCTGGGGTTCAGGCTGGGGACAGTGGTGGAGGATGCTAGAGCTTAAGGGCTTGTAGGGTTAGGGGGTCCCAGTGAGGTCAACAAGGGGTCTCTTTTGGGAACAAGGGGCAGGTGGGGTTCTGAGGCAGAACGTCACCTCGGAGTGGCTATGGCGGAATGTAGAATACAGAAACCGAGGAAGGGTGAGGACAGGCGTGGGGTGCATAGTTGTCCTAAGGGTGACATGATGTGATTGACAGAAACTCCAACAGACATGGTTAAAGGATAGACAGCTTCTCGCTGACAAAGGGTACGGGAACCGCTGTTCAGACTCCACTGCACGAGGCAGAGACAGAGACGGGCTGGGCCACCTGTCCGGATGCCGGTCTGAGATGCTGCCGAGCTGCTCGGCCACCAAAGCAGTGTGTGGCTATGGGCATTTGTGTTTCAGGCTCACTTGTTCCAGAAACATTTGTGTGTGTGCGGGCTGGGATATGTTGAAGTATGGCTAAGTGGTCAGGTTAGAACAGATTTCAGCCAGCTTGAGACTTATTTATGAAAGTTTGCTTTCTTACTTATATGCCCTCAAGTTAAGTTCCGCAGATTGTGGCACGATACCAGTTGGGCAGGAAGTGGGAGGACGATGACCTGGTCCCCAGGCCCCTGAGATGCATCTGGGCTGGTTGGGGAAAGAGCATTCATCCTTCGGTAAGCCACCAGGACAGGACAGGACATCTGACACCCTGAGATCCCAGCCAAGGTCGTGGGTGCCATTTCCTGGACCACAAATATGCATTGTGGCTTGGGATAAAGGATGCTGGACTAGGCGTCCAGAGACCGGGCCACTCACAAACTGTGCCCTTGGGCATGTCCCAGGCCTGAGTTTTGTCACCTGCCACGTGAGGATAATGCACCACCCCTCACCTCCAGAGTGACCCTAAGTGTTAAATGAGACAAAGCTCGTGGTGGGTCCTCTGAGGACGTCAGCTGGCGAACTGGCATCGCTACCACAAACTGGGGGACATAAACAATGGAAATTTGTTGTCCCACAGTCCTGGAGGCTGGAAATCAGATCCAGGTGTGGACAGGCTGGTCCCTTCTGAGGCTGCAAGGGTCCGTCCAGGGGCACCCTCCACATTCTCCATCTTCACTTGTGCCTGGCATTCCCCTCGTGTGTGGTCTGTGGCCAATCCCCCTTTGTGTAAGGACACCAGTCATATTGGATTAGGGCCCACCACGATGACTTAAGCGGTTACTTCTGTAAAGACCCTGTCTCCAAATAAGGTCATGTTCTGAAGTACTGGGGCTTAGGACTTCACCATATGAATTTGGAGGGTCACAGTTCAACCCATACAGTCGCCTTTAGACTTCATGAAGCAAGTGGATCTTAGACCTCACGAAAAGGTTTTGGAGTTGTAGGGTGCATGAAGAAGGAGTTTCTTTCTAAGGAATAGCACTGATGGAACAGTTACGAGAACACAGGTTTCTGGCAACCTGCTCTTAATGAAAGAAATGTATTGGTTGTTCCTCCAGGCCTTGGGGACATGGCGGTCTCCAACACCATCGGAAGCAACGTGTTTGACATCCTGGTAGGACTCGGAATACCATGGGGCCTGCAGACCATGGTTATTAATTACGGGTCCACGGTAAGTTCCTCTCACCTCATAAGTGAGGTGGGTGCATTTTACTGAGAAGGACAGTGGTGTCGGCCCAGTGTCAGCTGGGGGCTCGGGGGATGTGCTGCCCCTTCTCCTCGTCACCCTGGCACCCAAGATCCGTGAAGGCTTCCAGGACAGACTAGGGGTGTCCCTAGCACTGGGGCTTAGGACTTAGGGTCCGTGTTTGCTGGGTGCTCCTCAGCGCTCCCGCTCCTCTTCTCCACCCACCGGGCGCTGTCCCCATCCCAGGCATCTCCTCAGACCAGCAGAGTAGCGGCTTGAACACGCGTCCCCCGCAGAGCGTGCGTCCACGCACACCTGCGCGTTCTCATGAGGGAGTGAATAAACCGGAGCACCTGGGCCCTCGGGAGGGACTGGCTCAGAGGAGACGGAGTCAGGGCCTCGTGTTTGATTTTCCAGGTGAAGATCAACAGCCGGGGGCTGGTCTACTCCGTGGTGCTGTTGCTGGGCTCCGTCGCGCTCACCGTGAGTTTTCGCAATTCCAGAACAGAAGCTTCATTCACACTTTGTTACATGTGATTCTGCCGCATCACTTACACGGCTCTGCACACCCCCGTCACCTCCCCCATCAGTGAGGAATAAAGCCCAGGAAATACGTACATTCGCAGAGGCCCCCAGCCCAGTTTTTGCCGGGAGGCCGGCACCCCCACTGCGCTTCTCCCTGAGCAGACGAGAAGCTGCCAGAGGAAGTGAAGTGCATTCGCTTTCTTCTTGCTGCCTGGTCTAGTCCCCTCTCTAGTGCCAGGCGGAGAAATCTCCCCACCCATGGGAACTGGCAGGTGGAGGTGGGACAGCTCTCAGGACATGTCACAATGACTGAGGCCTCCCTACTCACGTGCCCAGGTCTGTGCTGAGCACTTCATCCTGCATCACTTTATTCGATCCTGACCACCACCTGATGAGGGGAGGTACTTTTGTTGTTCCCATTATGCACAAGAAATCAGGGCTCAGGGGTTAACGGGCCCAAGGTCGCAGAGTTAGGATTTGAACCCAGGTTGGTCTGTCCTTAACACCTGACTCTTCTCCCCTGTGCCCTGATGAGGTGCCTGCGATCCTCAGAAGGTGGGCAGTGTAGGGACGTGTAGGAGAGTCGGGAAAAGTGCAGGACCAGGGTATGCTCCACCCCCTGCCCCAAACACACACACACACACACACACACACACACACACGCACACAAAGATGGCCCAAGCGGGAGTCTGCCAAGTCACGGGTCTAAAGGGGCCTTGGAAAATTTGCTGAGGAGTCCTGAGAGAAAAAGACCGTAATGCCAAGTCCTAAAGTACAAGAATCATCCAGAAAAAGACCCCATTTGTCCCTAAGGAAGGCCTCGGCAGGGAGGACCATGGTGCCTGCAACCAGGCCAGGAGGAGGTGGCATGCCTGCCCAGGGAGGGTGGCTGCTGTGTGTCCCCAAGTCAGTGGGGCTGAGCCAGAGACTCGCACTTTTCATCAGACAAGTCTAAACCCTCCAGGGCTCATTCTGGTCAAACTGAGGGTCAGCCTGGCAGTGCCCCTCTGCTCCTGTCCACATTCTGCAGAAAGTTCTGGGGTCCCTAATGTGGGTGTTGTTTTCCAGTAGAAATGCCTTTTGCGCTTCTTTGCCCCCAAGCCCAGCTGCCATGCTGTCTCCTTCCAGGTCCTTGGCATCCACCTGAACAAGTGGCAGCTGGACCGGAAGCTGGGTGTCTACGTGCTGGTTCTCTACGCCATCTTCTTGTGCTTCTCCATAATGATAGAGTTTAACGTCTTCACCTTCGTCAACTTGCCGATGTGCCGAGAAGACGATTAAAGCTGAGCCGCTTCCCCCAGGAGCTGTTCTGGACACCCTGTGATGCCTGCGTCCTCCTGTCCCCTCCCTCCCCCACCACAGGTCTCTCCTGCATCGGCAGCCACTGTCTGTTCTTTCACACACTGGAAGGAAGAGCCATCGTGGTCTTTGTCTGGTCACAGGCCAGGCTCCTGGGCGTCCTCCTCCTCCTCCTCGGAGTTCTGCCCCCACAAGGCAGGATCCAGGGGCCATTATTTGAGCAGCTTCGAAGACCCCTGAGTGGCCAGCCACAGGGATGTGTCGAGTGTCTCATCTCTCTCCTGCACGCTTTAGTCAAAAGGACTTCCATGTGCAGCTTGTCTTTCTGTCACACAGGCAGCCTCAGAAACGAGGCAGTCAGTGAGCGTGAGGTCTCCTAGGGCAAGTGCAAAATAGGAATGTTGTTCTCAAGTGTCACCTTTGGGCCAGAGGTGACTCCTCAGACAGCGTGCGCTACTAGGAGCCTCCGACTTCTGCTGGAAGCACCTGCGGTTTGGAGGGGGCAAGGCCTCAACCTGTTGGGGGTTTGGGACCATGACGGCAGACATTTCCACCCCTTTTCCTGGAAAAACTGGAAGAATTCACAGCAGAAGAGAGAAAACAAGTGAATGTTCTTATCACTTGTATTGATGCATTCAGAGAATGAGCAATGAAATATTAAAAATAAAACATCATATAGATCATCATACTTGAAAAATGCCATTCCATACAAAAGGATCGTGATGCAGACCACAAAAGTAACGACTGTAGAAAAACGAATCCTACGTGTATCGTCTTGCATTGGCGCCAAGACACTTGGTTTGGAATAGAGAGGAAGACGAAAGACTGAACATCGAAACGGGTGCTAACTCACAGACGGGGAGGTGCGGTTTACAGCGGTACATTCCAGACCTTCTGTGACACGACGCACTGTCCCTTTGGGTTTGTCATGTCTTTGTTAATGCTCTAGTTTCAAAACCACCCTCTTGAAAGCCCCAGTTGTTTATATGCCCAACAAATTTCATAGCCTGCTGAACTGGACCGAGTGTGCCAGAAATGCCGGTTAATGACAAGAAGAGAGATTTCCTGAAAAACGACAAATTGCTCTCTGGGTAGCGGAAGGCAAGTATGGAAACCGTAATTTAGAATTTTTAGAGCTGAGTTTCTTGAACCGTGTAGTTTGCTACACATGAAAGGCCAAGAATGGGAAGTTCAAAAACAGAAAAATATGAAACCATTTTCAACTGCTTCATAGCTCTCAAATATATATTAAAAAGATTTATGAACACACACCATGGTTTCTAAAAAGAAAGCACAATTAATTTTATAGAGAGGTTTTTTATTTTTGTAATGTCTCTATTGCAAAAGTCTATCAGAGCTGATGCACTTTGAATATTGGGATGTTTTGCACAGAAGAATGTATGGGAACTATCCCAGATCATGTGAGCGGAAAGCAGATTTTTTGCGATTCGCCAGAAATCACTCTAAACTTGGTGATGAGTTTAAATCCAACAGCTGATCCCTTCCTGAGACACAAAGGTCGTGACCCACGTTGGAATTTGTGACTGTGCTCTTTAAGGCCTCCTGAATTCCAGAAGGAGGAAGTATTCAGGCTTGTGTCCCTTGTGTCACCTTTAGCATGCGCCTACAATGGGACCTCGCCCTCCATCACCAGGCTTCTATCCAGAATTGACATCAGTATTAGTAGCTATACCACATTAGGGCTTCTCTTTTTGTTTCTCTACCCAAAAATAGGCTCAGTGGTTTTCAAGTTGAGAACAAGGGTGATTTTCCTAAGCAATTAGCTAGAGGGCGGGCCAGGGACCCTGTAGGTTCATCAGTAGAAACTTGAGCTACAGGGGTTCAGGGCCCCGGGACCACTCTGTCCTAATAGCCTAGTTCACCTGGTTCCTCCCATTTTACGGCTCATGCAGGTTCCAAGTGCTTCTGTCTCTGTCTTGGTTCTCCACATTACCCTGCTGTGTTAAGGAGAGATTGTTCTCTCCCCATTTAACAGAGAACACAGTCTTGGAGAGGTCAAGGGACTCTAATGCAGTGGCCAGTAGTTAGTAGCAGAACGGGCCCCAGATGCCAGCCCGGCACCCTCCCAGGGCAGCCAGTCCGTGGTCGGCCATCCTGGGTGAGTGGACGTGGGTATGACTTTGACCTTGTGGTTGGCTCTTATGTTTGAGTCAAAACCTCATCAATATTTAATTGACCCCTAGGTTCCCCAGGTCATAGCCTAATGTCTCTATTTTTTCTTAAAAAAGACCAAAAACTATTTTTGGCTACGACAAGGCACCGGACACATGGCCCCTGGTGGTGTCCCTGCTAGTTTTCAAGTGTCTGAATCCTTGTGTAGCTTTCAGAGAACGTATCCTAATTGCCCTCCTCTTCCTCAGCGAAATCTGTCTGAGATTATAATGTATGCTGCAGATGCAGTTAAAGACTAAAAAAATGTTTTTAATATGTAATGCACTCCTCTCGGCTAATTTTCTTTTGACTTTCATGTGCCAATGTAACTTCCTTAAAGGATCTATGCATTTATTATATCTAGGAAACGACATGTACACTGTAGGTGAAAAATTCTCTTTTTTAACTAAATATTTTTCCATCACAAATTTAAAGAACTGCTTGATTAGCTAGGCCTTCACTTTTAAATTATGCTTTCATCACTACGCAGGATTACTTCCTTTATTTTATTCCCAAAGCTAATTAGCATAGGATAATTACTCTGCTACAGAAATAGGCAATTAAAAAAGATAAATTTAGCTCTACTCATTGGAAGCATAAAAGAAAAACAAACCATATTGCTCTCAGATAGAAAATGTCTCTAGAAGCAGGACCAGGTGGTTCCTGTCGATTTCTGGTTTGGAGTTTGCCCTTACCAGCCTGATCGTGGTTAGGGTGGAAGGTGTCAGTGTCTTGGGAACCTGGCCCTGCAGGAAGGTTCTGGGTCACCTGCAATGAGAGACAGGTGGTTAAGGGCACCATGGGCAGGTCAGAGTCATCGCCCGCTGCCCCTGTCCTTCCTGTAACCCACAGTGTGGTCTGCTGGCTCGTGGGCCTGTCCCCTGTCACCTGTGTGTCCACCTTGTGCACACACCTGGCTGCCCTGGTGAGTCTTCACCTGCTTATCACCCCTCACCTGTCAGGACTAGTTCTTGCTTTTGCCCTGTCAGTCCCCTGCCTTTACAGACCCAAGCAGCAGGGAAGGCACCAGCCTGTCCCGAGCCAGGTTAAACCAGGTGGGGTGTACGGATCACCGAGGGCAGGCAGTCCTGCAGACCCCGACCAAAGCCCACTGCCCAGGGTCTGGGTTTCTTCCACCTGCTCTTCCCTATTAATGGGGATTCACAAGCCCAAGAGTGGCAGCCCACCACTCAGAGAACACAGGACTCCCCAAAAGATCAGGAATTCAGGAATGGGGTAGGTGGTGTCCTTTCCACCTGGCCTTTCTCCTTCCTGCATCCTGGGCCCCTCCCTCCCTGTAAGATGGGGGTGGACAGAGGCAAGAGGGACCAGGAGACGCTCCGTTCATTCCCCTGGGGAAAGCAAGAGTGAATCCCAGCGCCAGTGGCTGACGCTGCTGTCCGTGCCCCTCCTTCCTTCCCTAGGTGAGAAATGGGCTAGGGGAGCTCAAGACACTGGGACCGGGGGTCAGGTGTCTGTTGCCACATTTTGGAATTTTCCCCAGAAGCAGAAACCTTTCTGCCTTGGCTGAATGGGCCCTCAGGGGAGGAGCTGGTATCCCGTCCCGCATCCCCACCTTCCCTTCCCTTCCCTTGGGGGCCGTGCTCCCCCCGGCGGAATGGATGGCTGTGCTGCCCATGTGGTGGGCTCTCCGCAAATGCTTGTTACTTGAATGAGCAACTTGCCAGGTAGGGTGAACGTGTCGGGAGATTGTACCCACGGGCCACTCTTTAAATGCTCACGGCCTCTCTCATGCTCTCTAAACATGATTTCCATGGGAGCTTCTGCCCTGGGGGTGGTTAGCAGATGTACCCAGGGCACCTGAGGGCAGCCTTGTTGCCACATCGTGCCCATAGAAACGTCTAGAAATTTCTGAACGTGCTCTCTGGGCAGCTCTCGGATGGCAGAAAGTCCGTCACCTCCCCACCCGGCCCTGGACCTAAAGCTCTGCCCTTGCTCTTTCTTTGTGTGGATTTACCCAAGGGTGCCAGGTGCCCTCACCAGGTATGAACAGTCACTCTGGCTTTTCTGGGCTCTGCAGCTCATCACGTGAACCCCACAGCATGAAGCCTCCCCTGGGCCTTCTCAAAGCAGGCAGAGGGCGCCCCTCCATCCTTTGGGTAAATCTTCCCCACTGTGTCAGTTATATGGGAACAAGGGCGAAGGGGTCTTTCCCTGGGCCTGGCCAACGAGGCAAAGAACACGAGGTTGGTTGCTCACGTTGAGCCTGGCGTCTGCCAACCCAGCTTGTGGGGGGCCCTTCACCTTGCTGCAGAGAACGCTTCCCCAAAGGGCACACTCCTCAGGGTATGGGTTTTAAAAAGGCGTTTGATTTAGGTTATTGTATTTGCTTGTTAATAAAACTGAATTGGAACACTAGTTCTGTGCTGAACTCCGGGCCAGGTAGCTAACGGAAGGATGTCCAGCCTGTCAGGTGACTGTGCATCCCACTCGAGGAAATGGGTGCTCACATTTCAATTTGGGAAAAGGGGCGCTTTTCCTCCTGTTCTGCCACCAGGGTAGAGCTGTCTTTTCAGGGAAGCCAGCTGGGTGGTATCCAGAGCTTTGGTTATTTTATAGGGGTTTTAAAAATTCTAACTTTTCGATGAAGCTCCCAGACAGAGCTTCGTCTCTGCTAAATTCTCAAACACCCTGTACACACGGTGCCCGGGGCACGTGTCGTCTTTTCCCTGCGTGTTTCCAAGGCCCTTCATCCAGTCTCACGGTGTCAGTGTCCAGTTGTCGAAGTTGTGTGTCTTCCTCCCACTTCTTAACCAGGGCTAAAAACATGCTCTCTCCTCGTCTAGGGA